TGGAGGTCATAGGGTCTACTCTCCAAAGCATCCATTTTCTCCTGGGGAACTGATCTCTGTCATCTGGAGATCAATTGTAACAGTGGGAGATCTCCAGGTCCCACCTGGAGATTGGCAACCCTAGGAGAAAGTCAGCTGCACAGCAGGGGGTTGAAGAGAATTTGAATTAGCACCAGAGCTTTAAGATTTCTCCAGCTGTCACCTGGAGACTGGCAACAGCTTGTCTGGAGTGTGGGCAGTATGGCATTGTATCTGTCTGAGGTCCCCCTCTTCCTCCTCCTCAGACCCCACCCTCAGCAGGCTTCATCCCTAAAATATCCTGGAAGTTGGCAACCATCAGCCAACCTTTATCTGCCTGTCTGTCTTAAGTTTTACACACACACCCCCCAGCCTCTGCCCAGGGAAAGGGCAGCTGACATCATTCTCCTCTTCCCTATGAGGTATGTTATGCAACTGAAAATCCCAACTGCCTTGCGGGGGGGGGGGTGAGTTTGAGGTGTGGAATGGAGTGTAGTCTAATCAGCTTCCATATGCAAATAACCTTGGAACGCTGGGCGGGACTGCACAAAGCAGCCAGTCAACCCAGCCAGTCTCTTCTGAGTGGCAGTTTTTCCGGCCTAACACTAAGGAGGCCAAATTTAGAATGTTGCGAAATAGAATGTTCAGTACTCAATTATATATAGGGAGAGATTTTAAATAAAGAAAATCTTCTGTGGAGGATCAAAACAGAATATTGTTCCAATTATTTATGTGACTAACAGCACCATTTTAATATACAACAACTGTGTGCTCATGGTTTTGTACCAAAGGGTAGTCATAACTTAGCTTATAAAAACATTGGGGAATTCTATTTGCAAAAGGTTAAATCCTATTTCCAAACCAGTGGGATTGTCTTTTTTAAAATATGCTGGCTGAACAAAATGACACTACTTGCATAGCATTGACTTATCCTAACTTGCTGTGGATGTCTGGGAGCTATAAAATGCCAAAACATCTGTGTTCAACTATCCTCCCACTCTTTATATTTGCCAAGAGTCATGTACCTTAACCAAACTGCAGAAATAAATACCGACCAGAAAAAATTGCAAGAATAGTCTAACTATGGCTCTAATTCAATGGTCTGACATTCATTAGTGTTGATAGGCTTTAACTGTAAATAAAAATAAACGAATGTTCAAAACATACGGTTGAATCCAGACAATTTCTTCCAATTTTTAAACAGAATTTGATTAATGTGAATCACTCATGAAGACTTTTCTGTATGCTGCTGGCCTATAGCTTGCCTTTCAGACAGGTTGAAGTTACTTGAACAAACAGAATAATCAGCAGTGCAAAATGCTCTGATCCTTTACCTCAAACAAGGCTTTAATGCAGACGGTGCAATCCCAAACAGAGTTACACACTTCTAAGTCTGTTGAAGTCAATGGGCTGAGAAGGGTATGTAACTGTGTTTAGGATTGCACTGATAGGCTGGTTCTTCAGAGTCATGGATGCTTCATACAGATGTGCCACAATGACCACAGGAGGGACTGCAAATACTTGTCAAACCAGATCAGTTGCCACTCATTCATAATACCTGTGTTTCTAATAAATTAACTTAATGTCAAACACCTTCCAAATGTACTTCAAGGTGTTTGACATCAATGTGCCTTCTAGGTAATGACTCAGCAGGCTTTTCCTGTGGTGGACGGACTGCAGAGCTATTGCAGTCTTGCTACTGTTACTGGTTGTCATGGTCACAAATTTGTACACAGAATGAAGAACACAGAATCAAATAATTTTTTTTAAAATACTGGTTTTTTTACTAGAATCTCTTCATTACAAGTTTCACCTACAGCAGCCAGATGCAGAAAATAGATCAATATCTGAAAGAAAAAAACCGTCTATAATTGTCATTCTCACATAATGTTGTAATAATATCTTGAATTACATATTGGAAATACTGCAGGGACAGAACAGTCTGATTCTCAAAGTAGTTCCCCGATAGAAGCCCTTTCCCTTTTGTAACAGTACTTAGTTATAGTATGTTGTTCAGCCCTTGCAGGTGTTTGTGTGCACGCGTGTGCACAATGTATCAATTTATAAGGCTTAGTGCATTACAGCACTAGATATTATAATACAAAGATTCACTTCCCATTTATAATGAAGGCATCTCATCAGGTATGAGTCTTATCTTTAGATCCTATTAAATGTCCTGTCATTTTCTAACCGAGGCGTATATATATATTTTCAGTTAGAAATGCATATGCTTCTTTTAAGAAAATTGTCATCACAGGTTGAATTTTTCCAGATTAACTGCAAATGTGCACATACATCCAGTTAGTTATAAAAAGGATCTATGGTTCTTCATTAGCGATCACCTTTCTAGACATCTATAGATATAATTGCATTTAATTAGAAAAACAATCCTCACAGAAAAATTCTCTTTATCTAATGTGTGGCTTACATACGGTCTTACCATAGAATCGTATGTGTAGTTTTTGGTTAAACCACAAGGGGTCACACAATATTTACAAATCTGATCTAAAAAAGTTTAGCCAGCACTTCCTCAGTCAAGTAAAAATAAACAGGAGTCTCGAGGCACCTTAAAGTTAAGCACATGTGGACTGAAGTCCACTTTGCCAAATTCATGTGGCAGGTCCTCACCTGGCAGACATATATAGCTACAAAGACAAAAGTTGTAAACAGTAAGCAGCAAAACTAGAGACGTCATCTACTAAATGAAAAACAAACAGGACAAATGGTACTGGCTGATTTTTCTTTTGATGCCACAGCATTAGCGGCTTGTGAGATCGCTTACCAGCTATACCCAAACATCAACTTCACGGTGAATTTTATGCTGACGGCTGGAGAAACTATCTGTGAAACAGCAGTTCTTTCTGATTCAACCTTAGCATCTGATGCAAATTTGAAAGACGTTCAGAAGGAGACATTCCAGGACACAGTAGGTAACACATACTTGGGTGATATCTGATGCATCAAGTAGCATTACCATGATCAAATCAGTGTACTTGTTAATGATGTGCAAAAATTATTAAAAAGGAGATGAACTGGCCGGTTGCTTACAATTTGGCAAAAGATGTGTTGTATACTGATCACAATCTGAACCGGGGCTCTTTAGATCATGATCCTTCTATCCAGATTTTATCTACCCTGTTGATAATGTGCAGTGATGATAGAGTGTAGGCAGTGGGGATGACAGTGTTGCTTAAAATATTAATTTGCTACTCCAGCTTTCATTTTTCAAAAGATAAACCAGTGAAATCAAGAGACAAAAGTCTTCCTTAGGATCATGAAACTGAATGCAAGGCAGAGGTGGAATTTGATCAAATGCACCAACAATGTAATCCTAAGCAGAGTCCCTTTGACTTTAAAGTACTTAGAAGGGTGTAGCTCTGCTTAGGATCGCACTGTGAGCTGCCCAGATCATTTTCTTTTGCAAATAAGATCTACTCCTGATCAGTTCAGACTGGTTTGCTCATAGGAGTTCCCTGCTGCTGGTGTGGGGAAGCAGCAGGCTGCTGGCATCAGTGAGATCTGCTAGCCAGTCCACAGCCATATAATTGCACAATGCTGGCTGACCCACTTCTCCCCACTGCTGCATCCTGATGGCAGCTGTTAAAAAATGTGCTCCCCCTCCTGATTGCCCTCACTTACCCAGTAGCAGAGGGACGGTCTCATCAGTAAACCATCTACAGGCCACTGCTACTCTCCGCCCCACATTTGCTGCTGCAGTGTGTCAAGCTCTAAATTGCTTTTCCCTACCAGACCACTCTCTCCAAAAAGAAAACCAAATTCAGGTTTCTTTGAAAAAGCTATGCTGCACACAGTTTGTTCACACAGTGCACAGTAGTGTGGTGGCGCTAATGGCATTAAAAAGAGGTTAAAGAAATTCACAGAGGATAAATGATAGCTAAATGAAACCTCCATGTTCAGAGGCAGTATATATCAGATGCTACTTGTGAGCTTCCAGAGATACATGACTTCCCTAGATCCCATCTCCCCAATTTATTTCCCTTCCAGACAACAACCCACAAATTCATCACCCCAACACTCCTCCCGAATTAAATGTGCTCTCAGCCTCCCCGCCTGGGGTTCCCCCCACCCAAATTTTATCAATTTCTAACTGGTAAAGAAAAAAAATCTGTTAAAAATGTGGTTTTTTTACCACTCATATGTATGTGGCTTGGTTATTTGTCCCCTCTGTCTCCTGCATACAAATGAAACCCCCCCATTTTTTCTGTCCCTCCTCAGTCTACTTTAACCCATGTAGCTTGATCTCCATTTTTCCTTCTCATTTTGGAACCACGTGCCAGGTGGAGCCCTCCCCTACAAGTCTTCTTCCACTTGGGTGGTCTGATCCTAATGTCTCTGTCGCTCCACCAGTCAGGAGCTCCGATGTGTGCAATTAAGAATGGGCCACTACTGTCCAGTCAGCTGCCATCAACTAATGCCCTGTGGGCCTGTGTGCTTCTGTCTCCCAGTTCTCCAGCACGCCTAACTGATAGAAGCAGGGAGAGAGCAAACTCTGCAAATCCATTTTTGTATTCCTGAACTGGCACACTGGAGAAAGTAAAATGTATTAAATCATGCTGGTTATGTGTTGGGACACTGATTTCCTGAGATTTTTTTACCCTTTCCCAAAAATGACAGTTGTCAATTTGCTGTGCACATTGAATAAGAAATCACAACATAAGGTCCTGCTTCAAAGTATGGCCTGGGTCAGAGCTCAGTGCTTGGCTGATTAAATGCCTCTTGCATAAGCACAATTGTTAAAAGCAAATGAAGGGTGTAAGTTGGGCACTGGCCAAGGGCATAGAGGAGCTCATTTTCTGCAAGGTACACAGGTTTCCTTAGTAATCTCAAGATTTGTATGGCTGGGTTCCCATGCCTTTTGTTCTTCCAGTGCAAATCAATATCCTTAACAGAATGAGGCAACAAAAACTGCAGTGATCTTTGAAGAGCTTCCTGAATATTTTTTTCCTCTGATGGTTTATTTCTTCAATATGCTGGGCCGATCAGGTTCTCCATAGTTATTTGATGTACTCAACCCTTTTCATTTATATAATTAAAACTTGCCAAATTATATGCGTAACTCTCCGTTTGTTTCGACTTCTAAAGAGCTATTGTATTCCCTCGCGAGTAACCAATATTTCCTTCTCCTTTCTCTTGACTTAATTGCATATTTACTTCCAAGACCCCAAGGAAGCACAAGAGCTGACCAGCATATCTCTGCTCCTGGCTGAACTGCAAAGAATTCTAATTACTTTCTTTGCTAATGCTTTCTATCCAATGCATTTTATATTATATTACCACCTTTTCTCAATAGATAAAACTGAAGGATGGATAATTAGGGCCACATTTTCTCACTTGATCCAAAATTACCATCACTGAATCATCAACCATCGCTTGGGGGGAGAAAAAGCCAAGAGCACATGAAACTAACATTCTCCCTAATTTTTCTTAATCCATAGGCTTCACAGTAATGGCTGGGTGGGGTAGAGAGCTAGTTGAAGAAAATGATTGTGAAGACTGCGTCAGAGCCATTTAAGACCCTGAATAAGAATGTTCTGGTGTTTTCTTCCATAAAAGAAGGCTTTTCAGCAAACCGGCCCATTTGTAAAGGGCAGCCTGCTCTAGCTTCTGCCCTAATGACATGCCTGTGATAACAGTGGGGCTATTAAGAGAGCAAAGGATAAATGCTAATGGGCCAGCTGGTGCTATATGGCCCTCTGTTTCTCAAGCCCTTGAGTTATATTACTGCTGAGTGCCGAGTTAATGCAGTCAGAGGACTGTGGCAACTCTCTTGCATATTTGAACGTCAGCCAGAAAGGAATGCTCAAGGGGTAGGATATGGACTGGAATGGATTTTGTTTTAAATTACCCAGGGCTCCTGTTAGAGAGCTTTCTGTCATCCTGGTTTGCTGGAGGGTGCTACAGAGATTGTACTCCTCAATTTAGAAAACCTTGAGGAATAATTTATTGCGCAGCTCAATTAAATATATTATGGAGACTAAGCTCCATTAATAGTAATTGAATCACCACCCTGATATTTTTAGCTGTCTCTTCTATAATCTGTTTGAAATCTTTTTCTGCTCTGTTACTTTTTATGGAGAGATTCTGAGCTATGCCAAAGAATGGCAGCTCTTGAAATAAGGAAAATAAAAATAGGCATATAAGGAGAGGCTGTAATAGTGCAGCTGAAATGTGTAGGTGGATATCATCTATAATTTACTAGCAGCACTACTAGTAGAACTGGCGACATTCAGAAGCTTCAGATGTATCTGAGTTTGAGAAGACTTTGTCTGCTAAGAATCAGTACAGTACAGGATAGCATATCTGGTGACAGCCTTCTGATCCCAGTTCTTGGTGATGAATTCAGTTTCATATTGCTGGATGCACAGGAAGCAAGTGTATCAAAGGCACTGTTTTCTCTTCTCCAGTGGTGAAGACGTTCCTTGTTGCTAAATGACAACAGCATTATTATGAAAAAAAGTTATCTTGTTTTGGGATCCCCATCTTCGGCTGCGATCACACACACGAAATAATCCACTTTCAATCTACTTTCAATGCACTTTCAAACTGGATTTTGCCAGTTCACACAAAGTCCAGTTGGAAAGTGGATTGAAAGTGATTGAAAGTGCATTATTTAGTGTTTGTGAAAGCAGCCTAAGTCAAGAATTTGAACAATCAGTCAACTTAAAAAATTTGGCAGTATTTTCAGTCACAGCCTGTTCATTTGTTAGCTGTGGTAATGAAGTGGTGGTGGTGGTGAAACTCTGGTTAATCCATTACTGTTCCTTAGCACCTTTGCCTTAGCAGCATAAGAAACATAACACTAACATACAATAACCCAGTGATACTAACCTTTAGGATCAGAATAGCTGCCAGCACAGGAGAGATGAAGATGTGGAGCAGGTATTGGCAAAGATAACCAGATATGGGGAAAGAAAGATGTCACATAATGCTGCAAGGCTGTGCAGGTTTGCCACCTACAGAACATCCTGTCCAGGGATCTCCCCCCCACACACACTTTCCTTTCCCTCTTCCTTTCCTGCTTCCTTCAGGCCAGGAACAGGCAAGGCCCTTAAGAGACTGCCACCACTCTGGTTCTAGGGCTTTATTAAAGAGGGGCCAGAGGACCCTCCCTGCCACCAAGCAACTCTCTCTTTAGTCAGTGTGTTCCCTGATGCATGGCCAGATTTGAGCCCTGAAGAAACTAAGCAGAGTGAATTAAATAAATAATATAGCAAGTAAGTAAATAGGCATAAAGTAGGGTTGCCAAATCGACTTACCTTGCCGGCGGGGGAGTCTGGGGTGGCTCCCGGAGCGAGCGCGCATGCGCTGCATGCACGTCACAGGCAAGTGACGTCATGACGCCGGGCACGCTGGGTGCAGGGCCACAGCCATTTGAGGGGAAGACATAGAGTTTTCCCCTCAAATGGCTGTGGCCCCGCCCCCAGCGTGCCCGGCGTCATGACGTCACTTGCCTGTGACGTGCATGTGGGGGTGGGGTTTCCCCCGGGGCCCGATTCCGCGGGGGTGGAAATCGGGCCTCCAAAGCGGGGGGAAATCTGCCCTTCGGGGGGATTTGGCAGCCCTAGCATAAAGTCATAAAAGTAGGGCAGAATGAATAGACAGCAAAACTCACAAAGGAAGAAGCCAGACAGCAAACAACAAAGTTCCCTGACACAACTGCCTTATTTTAGTTCCTACTCTATTGTACTACTTGATCCTGTAGGCCAGACTCACCCCACCATGGGCGAGGGATCAACTCCCTCTGAAACAACCTCATGGCCATTTGAGCTTCATGAAGTGAACACCCTCCTTCTCTGTGCAGAGTCTTATAAGCTCTCCATTAGAGCTCTGCTCTCTTGATAGCAATTGGTGTTTGTTTTCCCTCCATTCCCCTTCCCCCCAGTTTAGTTGTGAAACTTGGAAGGTTCTTGGGAAATGTAGGCCTGTTGCAAAATTTAGACAAGGCCTCAGATTAGGTTTGCCAGCTCTAGGTTGGAAGATACCTGGAGATTTTGGTAGAGGAGCATAAAGAGGGTGGGTCTAAGGAGGGAAGGGATTTCAATTGAGTATAATGCTGCAGAAGCCATCTTCCAAAGTGGCCATTTTCTCCAAGTGAACTGATCTGTATTATTTGGAGATCTAGGGTTGCCAGATCTGGGTTGGAAAATACGTGAAGACTTTGGGGGTGGATCCAGTAGAGGGCAGGGTTTGGGGAGGGGCCTCAGCATAGTATAATGCCATAGAGGCCACCCTTCAAAGCAACCATTTTATCCAGGGGAGCTGATCTCTGTCAGCTGGAGATCAGTTGTAAAAGTGGGAGATCCCCAGGCCCCACCTAGAGGCTGGCAACTCTATGGAAATTAGTTAGGGTTGCCAAGTGGGGGGGCAAGTAAACCCCGCTTCGGAGGTCCGATTCCCACCGCCGCGGAATCGGGCCCAGGGGAACTCCGCCCTCCTGAAGCGCAGCATGGCTGCGTCACCGGAGGTGATGCAACCACGTCAATCACGTTGGGGGCGTGGCCCCGATCGTCGGAGGGAAAACTCTATGGTTTTCCCTCCGATGATCGGGGCCACGCCTTCAACGTGATCGACGTCGCGCGTCACTTCCGGTGATGTGCTGGAGGCGCGCGCGCACTTTGCGCACGCGCACATCAACAGACGGCTCCCGGAGCCCGGCGAGGCTCCCCTGCCGGTAGGAAAAATTGACTTGGCAACCCTAAAATCAGTTGAAATCCCAGATCTCCAGCCCCACCTGGAGGCTGGCAAACCTAACTGAGGCCTTTACGGAAGAGAGGCTTCCTTGAGGCCTACAGGCAGCTTCAGCCTCAGGCCTCAGATTGTGATAGAAGAATTATAGCAGTTCTTCCAAATTCATACTACTCACCTTTCTTGCATGATTCCAATAGTTGCATCTTTGCTATATGTCTCATGCTAAGGAATCACACCTATAGCAGAAGTAGGGTTGTGAGCCTCCAGGTGGGGCCTGGAGATCTCCCAGAATTACAACTGATATCAAGGGTTTGAGTTTGGGGCATGGAGGATGTTCAGAGAAGTGGCTTGATCGCCTGCCTCTGCCTCCTGGCCCTGGTATTCGTTAGAGGTCTCCAATGCAAACACTTGCCAGGGTCGCCCTGCTTAGCTTCCGAGACCTGACAAGATCAGGCTTGCCTGGGCTATCCAGGTCAGGGCGGCCAAAGTTACTTTTCCATTAAGTATGTTCCCAGAACTATTTCATTGACAGAAGGAAATTAGAGGTCTGAAAATATAATGCTTGTAAAATCCTGTCTTCGTAGTTGAAAACATTGAGACAAAAGCCTGTGCAAAAAATTATCAATTTACTTAGTATTCACAAGGTCTTATTAATGGATTTAATTTTTCTTCCTAGTCACTCACCAGAACAGGCACACTGGTTGCATTAAATTCTGGATCAAAGAAATCCCAAATTAAGCCATTTCTTTGGCACAGTCTGCTTGTTTGGGTTTGTGTACATAACAGCTGCTCTGAGACAGATGAAGTACTCAAGCATGTCCTATTCTATAAGGAACAGCTTCATCAGAAAGACTGGTAAGGACAATCTTATAACTTGATGCAAGCTTTATGGAAGTAACCTTTGTGCTTAAATGTTACATAACCTTTATACCTAAATGTTAATCACCTTGAAGATGCATGTCAAACAGATTTATAATTTGTATGCCAGAAGGAGAAGCAATTTATGTATTTTGCATTGCTTCACTTTATCAATAAATTGTTTCTGCCTTTTTGGTTAGAAGCATATGCCTATATTGTACCCATTAGTCTTTATTACATTATGTTTGTTATTGATAGGAACATCATTTCACTATTTTAAGATGCAGTAATTTCCACGGAATTAACTGCAGTGAAGTGTACCATCCTTCAGGAACAGATACTTGGCTTCAGTGTCTGGGTACTCCTTATACGCAAAGTATAATACAAAATAATTTGGAATGTCTTCAATTTAGTTTGCTCTGAAAAACTTATTTTTAGTGTTTTTTGCTAGCTTAAGTCTGAGCCAGACAACATTGGCTTTTTCTTGTGGATTATATTTACTGCATTTGTACAGAATGCTTAATTTTAAGTTGTCTTACTATGAAAATAATTTTGTATTATAGACAAAATCCAAACATTTTCATAACAACCAATGACTAGAATTTAATGCCAAGGATTTGGTGTGAAAATGAGATCAAGATCTTCTCAAGGTCTTACAGATGTTCAGTTTGCCTAAACCTATGGGAGAATAGAATAATGGGGAAGAGAGAAAAATTGGCATTAGTTTATCTGCATTATGTATGGATTATCACTTGGATTTGAAGTTGACTGTGGTAGAAGGCTAGGGTCCAAGTACAGAGCCCTCCCAAGCATTTTTTTGTTTACAAATAACTGGTGGAAGCCTCCCTAATCCCAATCAGGGCCATGATGTGAAGGGGAGGACAAATTTAATCATTTTTATTGACCACAAATGCCCCCCCCCATACCTTGCCCCACTGAAGGACTGTTACCCGAAGGCTCAGGGCGGCTAACAAGGTCAAAAAATTTATTTATTTTTAGTAAATGGGTGAAGAATAGGGATGGGCATGAACTCTAGTTTGGGCACGAATCAGGCCATTCATGGTTTGCAGACCAGGGGTTCAAGAGAATGTGTCTCCCACGATCCACCCATGAACCTCCATTTTTTCATGGAGATTTGTGAGGTTTGTGGGAGACACATTCTTGGGCTCTGAAGGCATTTAAATGCCTTCAGAGCTTACTTCTAGGTCTGGTGAGCCTTTGGAGCCCAACTGCAGGTCTGGCCAGCCTGAGTGAGCTCACTCACTTTACAGGCCTTTGGAGCTCACTCTGGGAGCTCAGTTGAGTTAGGAGGCTCAACTCGACTGAGCTCCCAGAGTGGGCTCTGAAGGCTTTTATAGGTGTAACTAGAAATAAGGCCCGTTGTGGAAATAAATACAACGGGAGCTAGAAAGAGGCTCTGGGAGAGTGCTCTGGCTTTGGGCAAACAGTGTCAGTCTGCTTTTAAAACATGAACCTGGGACCTGCTCACCACCAGAATACAGCAGGTTCCATATGCAACTGACATTCCAACTGCCTTGCGGGGGGGGGGGAGTTTGAGGTGTGGAATGGAGTGAAGTCCAATCAGCTTCCATATGCAAAAGACCAGGTTGTCGCAGCAGTTGTGGTGTGGGCGGGACCCAGGCTTTGCCTTCTGATTGGTGGCGATATATGTTGAGGAGCAGTGCCATCAGCCATACACTAAGGGAGTGCATTTTAGAATTAGAACTTTGGCACCCACTATTCAATTATATATAAGGAGAGATAGGCCATTATATGGGCAGCCCACCGGGTCGGGTGGCCCTACCTGGAAATAATCTACGAAGGCATTTAAATAGCTCACCTGGGTGGGGCTGCGGATTGGTTACGGCCTATGATGACATTTAAATGCCTTTGGGGCTCACTTATGGGTGGGGCTATTCTACAAACTCATGAACCCAACAAACCATGAACTGGTTCAGGAAACAGAAAAGTTTGTGTGTAAATTCATGGGTCGTGTAATCAAACAAACCATGAACCACCGTTTCTCCAGTTCATGCCCATCCCTAGTGAAGAATAAAAGATGAATAAATGGCTGACTAATACTTTGCTGAATGGTGGTGGATGGTGGATTTTCAATCTTTTCTCAACTGCATAAATTCTTGAGAGTGGTCATGCTGAAGAATACCTCCTTCCCTGATCAGTGTTACATGTAGGATGACAGTGGCGTTCCCATTCCTCAAACAAGACAACAGCAAAAGTTTCATTACTTTTGTAGAACTCATACATTCTGAAACACAGGCTGCATTCAGATACTGCAACCAGCCTTTATTCGTTAGTTAGGTGAATAAATGAAGCTTGTTTACCATACTCATGCACTCCTTTGACCCCATTGTTCTACCTCGAATCACATGAGGAGTGTGACTTGAAGCTTCAATTTGCTGTGGAGTCCAAATGCAGGTCTCTGGTCAAATACCAGTCTCTCTTTAAAATGGTCCAGCAATGGTCCTCCTCAGGCCTCTCCTGGGCTGCAGTGCTCCAGAGCAGGCCCTGGGAGGCCGGCGACGGGCCTCCTCAGGCCTCCCCTGGGCTTCAGCATTCCAGTGTGGGCCCCGGAAGGCCGGAACCAGGCCTCCTCAGGCCTCCCCTGGACGGCAGCGCTCCAGCACGGGTCCCGGGAGGCCAGCAATGGGCCTCCTCAGGCCTCCCCCGGGCCACAGTGCTCCAGTGCGGGCCCTGGGAGGCTGGCGACGGGCCTCCCCCGGGCCGCAGTGCTCCAGCGCAGGCCCTGGGAGGCTGGCAATGGGCCTCCCCTGGGCTCCAGCGCTCCCGCGTGGGCCCTGAAAGGCCGGCGACAGGCCTCCTCAGGCCTCTCCAGGCCTCCCCTGGGCTGCAGTGCTCCAGCACAGGCCCTGGGAGGCCGGCGACGGGCCTCCTCAGGCCTTCCTCGGGCTGCAGCGCTCCAGCGTGGGCCCAGGGAGGCCAGCGACGGGCCTCTTCAGGCCTCCCCTGGACCGCAGTGCTTCAACGTGGGGAGCTGGGGGTGGGGATTGCCATCACCGCCATTTGTGCCAGCTCCTGGGCTGCTGGAGCAGCGCTCTGGCACGCTCCAGCCCCAAATGACTCCTGAGTATCTGGATATTAATATCTCAATGTTGACACACTGACGTCCAATTATTGTGACATAATAGGTTTTCATACAAGTTTCAGGTCACATCTGATGGCTAGCTTTCGACTTTTTTCAACAAAGCACGACTGGTCGAGATATAGCAATGGGGGGAAAAACCCAATCTGAGAAGCAAGTAAGGAACCTAGAAGGCTGTGCGGCTAAAACATTGAACAAAATTCAACTATTTATTACAAAGTGCACAGTAACTACAGATTAAAAACATAGATAGAATGTAGATTAAAAACAGAGAGGTAGTGGGCAATGTTCCCTCTAAGCGGTGGAGTCTTATGAGCAAAAAGTCTACTTTGTGAGCTACTGGCATTAAAGTTGTGAGCAAGCGATTTGGCTGCTGCATAAATTAGTTTGCTCTAGAGCCATCCTTCCTGAGCTAAGACAGAAATGTGTGAGCTGGAGGCTAAAAAACTGAGCTAACTCACACTAACTCAGCTTAGAGGGAGCAGTGGTAGTGGGTATCATATTACATCTACATAGCATACAGCAACAAATGTAAGTTGCATGCACAATAACAAAGACCAAAGTATTGATTACACATATCACTAGACCAAATGTGTTTCATCCCAGAGGACCTTCTTCAGTGGTCTAAATAATAACATACACTAGAAATGTAAATATGAAATATCTGTTCCAAGCCAGGCAGGTTGTATATGAATCAATGGAATAGTGTAGCTCCAAATAATAGTTATAAAGTTTTGATGTCAATCAGGCTTGCATGTATTGAGGAGCCCACACCTATCAAAGATGATAGCTTTATATAACCATTCTGCCTTTGGCTGTTGCTCTGTTCACTATGTGTCTCAGTGTGTCAACCCAAAGTGTATATTGACTTAATTGAAAGCTTGGCCCATCTCAGTTGATTAATAAAAGGGTGATAATAATATCTTAAGTGTGGAAGTTCCTAAAAATATTAAAAGCCATCTCTCATACCACTCTATCCCTGGGGGGATAAGGCCAGCAACATCAGATCATATACTGGAAAAGACTTTATTAAGAGCATTTCCAGATGCTGCCTTTCTCCTACTGGGACATCACAGGTGTCATTCATCCAGACAGTTTCACCTTGTCTAACACTGACTCTTATGAGGGAGTCTCTTTCTGCCAATACTTAAATTACTAGCTGGGGTTAACACTGATAGAGATATATCTTTGATCCCAAGAAGCACAGCTGTCTCACATAATTAAGGGACTTAGGGTCCTATGGCACCATTTTGAATTACCTGAACTTTTTAAAAACACACACACACACACACACACAATTTTGATTTATTTCTTCTTTCCTTGAACCATATGTGTTCAAACCTCCAGCAATAAAAAATTACTACTACAGCAGGTGTCTCATGGCAGCCCTTCTCCTTTCCATAAGATAGAGATGGATGTTTCACTGTTAGCAGCCAACTCTAATAGTGTTGGAAGACAGCAGTATTACCCTATTGAAGCAAATCCTTTGTCTGCAGGTCATCTAAGATTTTACATTTACGTCAATATCTTCCCTTATAAGTTATCGAAGGTCTGAAGTAAATGCCACCTGAAAAGCACTTATCTGTGTATCATGCTGATGCCATCCTGTTTAAATGTGCTTCTCTTGCAAGCTGGCCCGTAAACATGAAGTGTTAGTATGCTAGTAATCTGTGGCTCAGGAGGTTGTGCCTCTGGAATAGTAACAACATATAAATACAGGCTGGTGCACTCTCTGAGTACATTTTAATGGTATGGTGACCACATGTAATACTTACATAAGCAAGTACTTTTCGTTGTGCTTAAATTGGGCTTACTCCTGGTTATTCTGTGAATGCTGATGTGAAGTAAATCTAAAAAAAGTTAGCATATTCTGACATGTGTTGGTTCCAGTAAGAAAGCAATTACTTCTGTCTCCAAAATAGTTTTTCTATTTGAACCCCCCCCACTGATTATTTTATTTTAGACCAATGTTGACCCTCCTATCTTAAAATATCTAGGTTGGAATCAGTATTGGGCTTGATGGTCCTTGGAGAGGCTGCCAAATTAAACATGTCCAGCTTGAAAGTTTTAATGGACCTAGTGAGAGATTTTATTTCAGGCTCTATGCCTCTTCAGAAGCAGGTAAGCACCAAGCTCATTTAGATGTAGGAGGGAAATGTGCTTCTGGAAAACACTAAATTGGATAGAAGCAAAGCATTTATTTTCTTTACTGTTTGTCCCTGAAGTTTATGTTGGTCTCAGTATTCCAAGTTGGAAGAACGAACAAACACACCAGTTCTTGAAATGTAATTCTCCTGCAGTTTAAAACATTTTGAGTGGCTTATGGGTGCAGTTCTCTCTGCCCCCCCCCCCCGATTGTTGTGAGAATAAGACTGCAGTCCTAAGAACTGCATTCCTGGGTGTAAGCTCCATTGAATAAAATGGAATTTAGAAGTAACTACAGGGTTGCTCCAAATTCAGTCCTATGCATGCTTACTTGCATGTAAGCCACAGTGAACAGTGATACTCACTTGTAAGTAAACGTGCGTAGAATTTAGCTGAAAAGGTATTTTGCAAAGATATATATCAACCTGTTCTTTATGATATATGAAACTTTTGATAGAACTCTAATCATGCATAGGATCTAGCTGTAAGGGTGTACTATAAACAATATATCAATCTGTTCTTATGTATAGAACTTTTGATAGAACTATAACCATATCAATTACGGTCCATACTTGATTGGAATTTTCACCTACAGCCAAAGAGTAACACGATCAAACTCCCATGCTGGCAGTGGCAAGTGGGATACATATATACCAATATACTCAGAGAAATCTGTTTACGTGGAATTAGTGCAGATCTGCAAAAAACTGCATTCCTTGGATTCTGTGATTGTGCAGAGCAATTTAAAGATGGCAAGGAGTTAAAAGGTGCAAGTTTTCTTGATCTTTTGCACTACTACCCATCAGCTGATGACAGTAAGTATCAGAGCAGCAAATTCCCTTCTCTGTGTGTGGACACGTGGAAGCATATCTTGAAAATGCCTTATTAAGGAAGCCACCTATTAATTAAAACAGAATTCCAAAAGTTTTGCATATTTCCATTTGCATTTCTTAATTAAGTTCTTTACTTTTGCCCAGAAATCCAGATTAGGGCCAATAATGTTAGGACTGTTCAGATTGCAGTCCTATGCACACTTAAGTAGGGAATAAGTCCAGCTGAATTTGGAACTAAATGGAGCTTGGTTTTGAGTAAATATGCTTAAAATGGAGCTACATGAATCAGTGACCAGTTCTAAAAAGCACTGTAAAAGCTTACACTTAAGATCCCTTATTTTGGGGTGTAGATAATTGACTGAAAATAGAATTGAAATAAGTAATGCATTGGATATATTTAGATGCCATGACAAATTCACGTTCATGATTATGGGTTAGAAATATAACAGATTAATATCAAAATCAGGAGGACTGCAGTACCTGTTGTTATAATTTGAGGTTACTGATTTCACTGCTTTTTATTTTGTTTTATTATAAACACACAAAATGTCACAGTACATATAAATAATGTATGAGACCAACCACACCTTAAATCCCTTATCTTTGCATGAAAAGATATTAGAACAAGTACCCCAGAGCATGATTCTCCGTATATATCATATCTGTTCCCACCATAATCAGCTGGTGAAACAAAAAAGATTTATTTATGTAGGGGATTTATATGCCACCTCTCCAGAGACCTGCTTGAGGTTGCTTACAAATAAAAACAATACATTACATTAATAAATGCATCATAAATTATCAGTGTAAATACCGTTCTTGTTCTAAGGCTTAATAAACTCACATAGCAGTAAAGCCTGAGACAATATGAACAAACTGTGGAACTGAAGGCCATGAGAGTTTACTAAGAAGTAGTGACAACTGTGTTCAATAAGATTACTCCCAAGTCAGGGTACACAGGAATAGGCTTTCAGTTTATGGCTACAATCTTATGCATATTAACTTAGATGATATGTACTCCCAAGAAAGTGAATACAGTATGTTTTCTTTGTCAAAGAAACATGCATAGGATTGGACTTTTCTTTTGAGAGCCAGTTTGGTGTAGTGGTTAAGTGTGTGGACTCTAATCTGGGAGAACTAGGTTTGATTCCCCACTCCTCCACCTGCAGCTGCTGGATGGCCTTGGGCAAGCCATAATTCTGACACAGCTGTCCTTGAAAAAGAGCAGTTTCTGTCAGAGCTCTCTCAGCCCCATCTACCTCACAGGGTGTCTGTTGAGGGGAGGGGAAGGGAAAGGAGTTTGTAAGTCACTCTGAGACGCCTTTGGGTAGTGAAGGGCGGGGTATAAATCCAATCTCCTCCTCCTCTTCCTCCTCTTATTTTAAAATGGATGAATACAAGCTCCAGACTAAAAGGAGAAAATTATAAAATGTAAGATGCTTAAAATTAGGTTGGTAAAGATACAACAATATTAGTTATAGAAAGAAATTAAAGGGTGCATAAAGACATATTCCAGTCTTTAGGATAACATGTTGAGTTCACTAGGAAACCTTAGTTAGGTCAACCACAGAGAAATTTTGTAGATTGTTTAGAGCTGCGGTCATTTCACAGTTATCTGGAAGTAAGCCCCTCTGAACTCAAGTGAGACTTGCTTCTGAACAAACATCATTCAGGGTGTTAGAGTAATAAAATAACTGACTGAAATCTGTGGGCCATCCAGTAGTACTGGATCCTATGAAAGCACTTACAGTCATGGATCTTTCCTACCTCCCTATCCCCCCCCCGGCCCACTGAGGGCCCCAAAAGAAGATGTTGGAGATCAACTGAGCTTCATGGACAAAAAGCCATGCAGCACAGTGGTCTACACTGAGGAGGAAAAATTGGATGGAATCACTCCTTCTTCCTCTTGCATGAATGTAATACTTGGTCCACCATGCTTCCTGTACTAGTGAACAAGGGAGATGGGGGCAATTTTGCCAAATTCCACTCCTTGCTGTAGTTTTTATGTGTTCTGTGGATTAGCTTTTGGGCATTTGTTGGGAGGTGCTGGACAAATGGGAAAGATGCATTTCATTGAACACCTGGCCCTCCTGTTTGCATAGGATCCAAAACATTGTCTTCACTGATAACATTTGTAATAAAGAAGTGATGATATTCAGAAATGCATTACAAGAAGTTGAAATATAAAGCCCTTTTGCTACTGGCTTCAAGACAATAATAATAATAATTCAGTGCCATCAGGTTGCAACCCACTCATGGTCAATGCTCCCTCTAAGCTGTGGAGTCCCGTGAGCAAAAATTCTACTTTGTGAGCTACTGGCATTAAAGTTGTGAGCAAGCAATTTGACTACTGCATAAATTAGTTTCCTCTGGAGCCATCTTTCCTAAGCTAAGACAAAAATGTGTTAGCCAGAGGCTAACAAACTGTGAGCTAGCTCACACTAACTCAGCTTAGAGGGAACACTGCTCATGGTGACCCCTCATTGGGTTTTCAAGGCAAAAGAAGAACAGAGGTGGTTTGCCGTTGCCTACCTCTGTATGGCAGCCCAGGTCTTCCTTGGTGGTCTCCCATCCAAGTACTAAGCTGACTGTGCTTAGCTTCTGAGCTCTGATGAGCTCAGCCTAGTTTAGGCTATTCAGGCTACCAAATGGCCACCTTTAACATTAAAATGAAAATAAGGAACATAAAGGTGCCAGTAAATTAAAATGACAAAGGACACAAATATTCACAGTGGTGGGATTATGACATTTAAATTTGATGCATAGAACTGGGACAGTTTCCATAACTTGTCCAAATCTTTTTATTTATTTGGGGTATTTTTCATCTCATTCTTCATAGAGCACTTGAAGCAGTTTATGAAATTGATTAATAAAAGTAAAATACAAAGATAAAGCATTGCAACAGTAAATATAGATTTCATTTAACAACTAAAATCAGTGAAAGAGTCTGTGTTTCAGATTCACCTCTATCCATGATGACATGAGAATGTGCTTCTTCCGCTATGTTGTTCTTGTTGTTCAGTTGCATAGTTGAGTCCGACTCTTCACAACCCCATGGACCGCATCACGCCAGGCCCTCCTGTCTTCCATCATGCTCCGGAGTTTGCTTAACTTCTTCTTTTTCCTTCAGTCTTTCCCAGCATCAGGGTGTCAGCTAGGCCTCTCGCTGCCATGGAGTGGAGGGTGTCTTTGGAATGTTAGGTTTCCTTTCTCTGTGCCTTCCATGGGGTTTTTAGCTGTGTAACATGAGCATTTGGCCTTGGTGTCTAGCATCAGCTTTCTCTTGGGAAACCTCTTCCCCAGCTGGTGAGCGGGTATCCTTTCGCACCAAGGAACCATCCCTGGGCAGGGTGGGAGGGGGGCTCTTGGTAGTTGGTGATTCGATCCTTAGGCAGGTAGACAGCTGGGTGGCGAACCCGCATACTGACCGTATGGTGACTTGCCTGCCTGGTGCGAATGTAGCGGACATTACACTTGTTTTAGATAGGCTGGTAGATAGTGCTGGGGAGGAGCCAGTGGTCGTGGTGCATGTCAGCACCAACAATGTGGGGAAATGCAGTTGTGAGGTCCTGGAGGAGAAATTTAGGCTGCTGGGCAGGAAACTTAGGTCCAGGACCTCCAAGGTAGCTTTCTCAGAAGTGCTACCTGTTCCACATGCAGGGCTGGAGAGACAGACACAGATCAGGAGTCTCAATGCGTGGATGAGACGATGGTGTAGGGGGGGAAGGTTTCACATTTGTTAGGCACTGTGATGCTTTTTGGAACAAGAGGGAGCTGTACAGGTGAGACGGTCTCCACTTGGCCCAAGAAGGAACCAGGCTGCTGACGCTTAAAATCAAAAAGGTGGCGGAACAGTTTTTAAACTGAATACTGGGGGGAAAGCCGACAGGAGATGAAAAGTCTCTGGTTCGGGTTGGCTCATCTCAGAGAGATGAGGGGGTAGGTGTTGCTTTTCTACAGGGAGGTGGATTGAAATTGTCCACTGAGGCCATGACTAGTGACATGGACTGCCTGACAAGGTCTCGAGATAGCAAGAGGAAGGTTGCAGGCTTAACTTGTATGGGAAATTACAGCTGTTTCTATGCAAATGCTAGAAGTGGCCGAGGTAAAATCGGGTGTTGGAGGGAAAAATAGACATTGTGGGTATTTCAGACACTTGGTGGGATGAGGAAAATCAGTGGGATACAGTGATTCCCAGTTATATATTATATTGGAAGGATAGGGGGGGGGAGGGTTGGAGGTGGGGTGGCTCTGTATGTCAGAGAGGGTATAAAGTCCAGAAAGATTGAGAGTCTAAGAGAATTGGATTCGGTTCTGGAAATTCTATGGGTTGAAATAGGGGGGCCAAAAGGAAACTTAACACTGGGGGGTTGTTATCGCCCACCAGATCAAAAGATAGAGGAGGATTATAAAATGATGAATGAATTCAAAAAAATGTATAAGTTTTTGAAAAATGTAAATGATTTGATAACAGAAGTGCTGCATATAAGTTTAAAATTAAGTCTGGAGATTTACCTGTTAAATATTATTCCAAATGAGCATAAAGGGAAAAATTACTATATACTAACATATATGCTCACAGCGGCTAGAATTTTGATTGCTAAATACTGGAAGCAAGAAAAGTTACCTAAGAGAAAGGAAATAGTTGAGAAATTAATGGAAGTCGCAGAAATGGATAAATTAACACTCATTTTGCAAGGGAAAGATGATAAGGTGTTTAAAGAAAGATGGGCAGAATTCTACAAATGGATAGAGTATAAAAATCTGTAATAGACTCATACAGATGACACGTTAAAATACGAATGTAATGGTTGTTTATTTGTGATAAAATTTAAATAAAACTGTTAAAAAAATTTTTTAAAAAATGATAGCAGCTGGACAAAAACACTGTGTCGTAATAGGTGATTTTAACTACCCACACATTGATTGGGTCAATATGTGTTCTAGTCGAGAAAAAGAGATTGAGTTTCTAGACACTCTAA